CATTTAAGCACAAAGACACACATCTCAAAAGCAGAGAATGGGCCAATCCAATGAGACGTTCAGACAGACTTTCAGACTTTTTTCTTTCAAATGTTTGACAAATTCAAATGAAAGTCTTTCAGCGGCAGTAATGCATTAAAAGTGAATCTTGCTGTTTGAAGAGCTGTCAATGAATAACAGCTCCTAGTTGTGGTGTTTTAGAGAAGCAGCGTGCGGGCACATTCCAGGACGGCTGCCAGAAACAACCACAGCGTGAGGAGACAGAAAAGCCATGCAGGGAACCTCAACTTCCTTCAACCGTCTTCCCTTCCAGTGAATAAGAGCAGTCATGTCACTGCAGATGTAGAGTCATAGCTAACCTTTGAAAGATATACTTTGAATAAATTATATGAACTTTCATAATCACCATCATGCTTTATTTTTGTATTATCTCTGCATGAATGCAATAAGAACAACATCATATTTGATAAAGTGATTCTAAAGCTAATTTCTGCTTTTATTTCACAGTAATGCTTCTACAATGGAACCAGATGCTTTTCTTTTTTCATAGCTGTGTTTCAAAAAAATTGAAAAGGAAAACAATTTTTAACATTTGACAGTGTTTGCCAAAAGTATTTTGTTTCCTGAGTGTAAACGAGTAAATTACGCCTGTCGTTTAAAGACCACAAAAAGTCTGAATATGTATCAGACAGATTGCAAAGCCAGATTGTCAACATCAATTCTGTTCATGCTCTGCCCACATGGTTCCAGTCTCAGCTCGCTGCCTTCTCCCTGCAAACTCTGCAGGGACTTCAACTTAGACTGCAAGCTGTTTGTTGTTTCACTGAGATGTTGAGTTTTGAACTACTTAAACCCCAAAAAGCTAGATATTTGCACTAACCTTCCCCGTCCTTTTGACCTTCCCGTGGCCTGGATTTTCCAACAACTTCACAGAGGTCCTAGAGCAATCTCGTCCTCGAGCTGAAGCTCGACATGTTTTTCTCTTGTCTCAATTTTCACACAACAAACTAGTTTGTGAAAATTGTAAGGGTAGGCAAGTTCAAGCAAAAAAAATAAATATCTGACATTGAAACTTTCCTCTACCTGAAGGCACAAACAGAAAAAGAACAGCTTGTCCATATTTTCCAACATTTAAAATTATCTTGAAACAAATACATCCTGGTGGCATCCCTGGTGAAGATGTGTCCAAATCTTGAGATTTTAACCTTTTACTAATTCTCTTTATTTGTCTTAGGTCTTTTCTGCTCGTTCACTACTCATACTACTTGTATTGTTTTTGCTGTGCAAAGTGATATAAAATAAAGTCGACATTGACACTGTCACAAGATTTTAAATAAATTGATCTTTAATTCAGTGGGTAATCATTGAATGACATCCTACGAGCAACTGATCAGGATGCCTCCTATGACCCATCCAAGGACACGTGTAAGTTGCATTGGCAGACCCAGATTATATTTCCCATAAATAAGATTGAAAGTATTATTATTGCACCCATATTCTGACCACACATAAGCTAAAGACAATGGATGAATGAATGGATGAGTCGTCAGTGGGTCATATTTTCAAGTAAATATGTTTTTAAACCTTGTGGTCACGTCCACAAAGAAGCAGTCTGCAGACACAACACCAGCCTGTTTCCATTGTCATCTCAGTCCACAAGCCTAAATTCTCCAGAAAAGAAGGTGAAGAGAGGAGAAGAGACAATAAGGATGCAGGACTCTGGATTAATAAGAAATATCCCTCTCTGTGTATGGTTCCTCACTAAATAAATTTTCCTCACTAAAAAAATCCATTAGGTTGGTTAGAAATAGAAAACACAAAGCTTCACAAAGGCTAATATTCTAGATTGAATGTCTAGTGCTTTAATTGAATATAAAGTATAATTGTAATCCCAATGTGGACAAGAAGAGCCATCCAGAGTTTAGATAGCGCAACATTTTTTTTTTTTTTATCTGGGCTGACTCATGGAGAGCAGGTCAGGGGAAGATAACCCGAGTCTCAGGGGAGGAATGCATGTTCACATGTACACCCAAAGGTCATAAAAGAAAACTGTGGAACAAGACCATGGACAGATCTCCAGATGAAATATTTTTAGCTGAACTCAAGCATTCCCATTGTTTGGTGCAACTGAGAATATGTATAAACATGTATTGCACAGATTGGAGCAAAACAATGATTGAAAAGGAGAGGGAAAGTATGACAGAGAGTTCATGACTATAGATGGCATGACAGGAGTCTTGAAAAAGTTTTTGTGATAAAAGATGTGGTGATTGATTTTATCTGAAACTGCTCCCTCCAGGTCAGAGGTCAGTCTGTGCCTCAAGCAAAGAAGTTCAAATATGTTAGTGTCTTCATCAGTAGTGATGGTAAGACAGAGTGGGAGATGGGTGGACATATTGGGGTCTTGTCTGCAGTAAAGCAGTTTCTACTCCAAACTGCCAAGGTTAAAAAAAAGCTCAGCCATTACGTGAAGCTCTTGATTTACAGGTCCCTCCAGGTTCCAGACCTCAGCTGTGGTCATGATTAATGGATCATGACCAAACGCAGAAGATCTCAGATGCCAGCAGCTGAAATTTGATGCTTTGTGTATTATTGTAGCTCTGTCACAAAGATGATTTGATGGCCTCTGTTATCCTTCAAAGCTGAAAGGAGAGCTGCTGCTCCTCCACATTGAAAGAAGTCAGTTTAGGTGATTTGGGCATCTGATCAGGATTTCACAAGGAGCACCTCAAGTTTTTCCAGGCACATTTGGGAAGAGATCTTGGGGTGCGCCCAGAACTCACCAGGGGAACTATATATATCCCAGAAAGACCCTAGATTTACCAAACAAACTGAAAAGTATTAAACGGGGAGAGAGATATCCAAGTTTCCATCCTGGACATGTAAGAGTACAAGCCTGCTACATGAAAAAGTGAAAAGCTAAGGGAATGCAGTTCTGCAGTAAAAGATGAATGTGTTTGTTTTTTTGCTGAAACTGTCCTACAGAGGTGATGACTCACCTGTACACATTAGAAGATGCTGTTGGTGTCAGTGTTCAGGTGCGGGGATTTATACAGAGATCCATTATGCATGTCTCATGATCTCAAGTTCACACTAGGCACTGCACTACTCATTTCACCCACAGCTCTTTGTGCACAAATGTTTCAGTTGTTTACTTCAATCCAATCGTGACTTTATTTTTCAAAACACAGCAACAGTCAGATAAACAACACATTAATGGACTGAATAAATGCTAACACAAGCAGAACTCACACACGTTGTCAAGTATCCGGATGCTGAGGGTTTAAATAAGAATTCCCACCATAATGTAAAAATTACACCAACACAGAGAACAAGGAAATGTGTTTTTCTAAAAGGATTCCAGAGCCTATGAATCCCCTGTAGGAATTTGAAACTGTCTGCAACTTATTAACTTGACTGCAGTTGTCTTGTTAACCAGGATCCATAGAGGCCTGGAGTTTTAAAGAAATGCATCTTGTTTAAAAAGCGCAATCAAGAACTCCTCCTCATCCAGACACAAATCCTCCCTTCTCAGTCTGTAAATTGAGGGTTCATTTCCAGTGGTATAAAAATGTCTAATAATTTCACATAATCCTATATTTACTCACATACTAAGAATAAACATAGGGTGGAATCAGTCAAAGTCACTTTTTAAGTTACAAATTTTATGGCTCGACAGAATAACTGGTTAGCCAGTTATTCTTAAGACTGCTTAACTGCTTTCACATCTTAAGCAGTCTGAATTTGTGTTTTCGATATGCTGATATTATAACATTTTCATCAAATAAAGACATTTAAAAAAATCTAATTGATTTTGAAACATCAATGGATGGTATTCCAACAAAAAAAAACTTTATTTTGATGTCTCTATATATACTTTAATCCCATCAACCTCAAGGGGAACTGCACCTTTAAGTAAATAACTCTTGTCTTCATCTGTATAGATCCATTCTGCATTGTCCTGAGTACGACTGGATTAGTATTCAAGACTCATAAAGATAGCTGCACATAGAGCACTGGCTAAGCTACCCACACCAGTTGCTGTGCACAGTTAGCTAGATGAATGAAGGATTCACTTTTCCCTCCCTTAGATGTAAGATCCCTTAGAAGAGTCAGGAGATTCAGTCCTTTCTCTGAACGAGTAGATCCTGCGGTTGTGATTAGGGCTGCAATAAGGTCGAGTATCAGCACATTTGGGGTGGTGAGGTCTTTTGCAGAAATTAATCTTGGCAATGTTTTGGTAGCAGTACAACATATTTATTCTACAAATATTTAAAAAAGATTACAAAAGCAACATATTGTCTGTTGATGTGTTCCCGTCATGCTGTCTTAATTGACTCAGCATTCAACCAATAATCAGAACCAAACGTCTTCCACTCTCATTTCGTGAGTCAGAATCCTTCAAGCTAAAAAGTTTGGAAACAGCTATTTTTGAACTGCTACTAACGGGAAAGCCATTTCTTGCTGTTTGCTGTAACTCTGGTAGGAATCAGTGTGGAAACACAGATGTTTGTTCCTGTTTACACTGAGAGGAAGGTAATTGAGAAAGTCTGGCTCACTCCTTGGGAGCTCTCTGCTGCTCAGTGGGAGCTGTGTTACTACTGAAACAAACATTTCACATCTCTTTCTCACTGTTTATATCTCCTCTCTGTTCCCACATGCATTTTTTCCCTCCTTAATCCTTTTGTCACCTTATTCTTCCTTTGGAGGAAATATCTGGTACTTAGCAGGAACTGGGTGCCATGTTTGCTACACCTTGGAAGGGTGGCACCAAAGACAGGAAGAGATCCTCTATTCTTTTCCATCTCGACACCTTAAAGGAGGTGTATCTGTCAGAAACACCTCCTTTAACCTCCACATCAGAGAACAGCAGGGCGCCGCCTCGTCGACTGCAAGGTGCACTAAAGCTTGCAAATGAGCTCCTTTGCTGCGAATGTTCCCATAGAACACAGAACACATTCTATATGCGGAGAATCTTCTCCCCACCTTGTCAGGCTTACCTGGAATTGGCCGGCGAAGTCTTCGTCTGTGGTGCCCTCTCTGCCCTCCTTCAGCGCGATGAGAGTAAAGCCTCTGAAATAAGCAGGGCTGCTGGCTAGAAGCACCACTGCGAGGGAAAACAAGAATGTGAGTAAGTATATATCAGCGCCACAGAGAATCAGGGTATTAAACTGGCTTTGGATTTTCATGGTTTGTCTGCGACACCCAGGGTCACTGCAGATAATCGCGACAGAGGGTTTATCGTAACAGTGTGCATGATGTGGAAGAGTGAAGGTTGCAAACAGCAGCTTAGCATCTCACACAGCAGTTAATAAAGGAGGATACAGCTGAATCGCACACTTCCTAGCTTTCCCCTCATCCATAGCACTAGTTAATTAATCAGGTATTACTTAAAACGATCAACTGAGAAACGGGATGCTGCTCCGGGTTCTTCGAGGAGTATCAGTTCTTGTCGATTTCTACTACATAAACATACAGGACATAATATGTGCAACAGTTAACAGCTTTCAAGCATGACAATAAAATAAAATCTACTTTTATATGTTTAAAATGCATTTAGATTTTCAACAAAGCAAAACCACAAAGAAAAAATATTGCTTATGATACATAGTTAATCCAAAAGTAACAGATGCTAAGAGTTCTCATGAGCAATATAACTGCAAGTACGTTTAAGTGCAGTCATATCTACTAAATCAGGTTATGTGTTCTGATAAAGCTTGTTTGTCAGAAAAGTACCTTTAATAATAATAATAATAATCTTTAAGAAGGTTTTATTTACTCCACATTTCTGTATTAATTATTTTATTTTTAATCTAATGCATTGTTTTAATCGTAATTGTTTTGTTTTCATTAAGAAAATCATCATAATTAACAGAAATAAAGGCTTGAAAAGATCAGTGTGTGTGTAATTAGTCGATATGTATTTCACTTAGTGAACTGAGTTACTAAAACTGATACATTTTGCAATAATTCTCTAGTTTATTAAATATGACTACATGTTAAAATAAAAAGCCTTAAACTTTAATGTTCAAAGTTTTCACGGGGTCTTAAAACAGTCTAAAATTTCAAAATCCCAACAATCAAAATCAGACAAAAAAAAATCTTAAACTAATTTAATTATTTTAGTGAAGTATTACATTATTACAAGTATGTCTTAAAATTTTAATAAAATGCCATGACACTTTATTGCATTTATGGACTGTATTTTCAACTACAAAAGTTCCAAAGACACAATCAAGCAACCAGCTTCTTTTGTTACAGACGAAACCATAAGATAGTCCAAAGAAGCGCTGCTGCAAGAATGGGGAAATGCAAATTCAACAACACTTAGCCTCAAAGACACAAGTGAAAGGCTTGGTTAAACGCTGATCCAAACAGCGACTTTGAAGCCTACGGCTTATGCAATAAAAACAACAAAAAACAAACAAAACGAGGGCAGTGGAGTTGCATTCAAAAAGAGACAAACTCGTAACTTTTTTCGTTTCTAGTCTCTGAAAACAGCTCCACTCTCTCTCCCCGACTGTTCACCTCCACTCCAACTTGGAGCTGCTTTGTGCGCTGTGCTGCAGAGCCCAGGAAGAAACCTGGAATTGTTTTACTGTTGTAGCAAATTATCTTTTGTATGCAGCTATTCATTACTGAAGCAACATTAAAAAAAAAAACTTCTATGAAAAGAAAGAAAAATCATAAACACAAAAGCGTCAGACGGCGAGAAATGATTCCATATTCAACCCATTACATCTGTCTTGCATGGAAATAATTTACTTTGAACAGCAAAGTTAAAATCTGTTTAACATTTAATGACATAATGTAAAGATTTTCTGTAGACTTTGAGGTTTTTTTTTTGTTTTTTTAAAAAGCCCCCCCAATTTAATCTTCCTCGAAAAAACAAAAAAAAAAAAAAAAGTGTAATAATTATTTGGGTCAGTTTTCACTGTAAGGTCAGATGTTTTTGTTTTCTTAGGGTTTTGCATCAAACATATACACCATGTGAAAGCAGCATAAAATAAGTCTAACACAAAGGATGAGTCCTAGTTTTGTTTTGCTTGTTTTCTTATATTTTGTCACCTTACACCACAAGCTTCAACATATTTTATTGTGACTTTACATCACACAAAGAAACGTCTACTGAAATCTGATCATTTTAGCATGCATTTGTAATCAGTTGCATTTATTCTGATGCCACTACATAAAATCTGCCATCAGATCTCATCCAATTAGACTCCATCTATGTGAAATCTCAGCATAAATCCAGCTGTTAGAGAGTACTGGTGAACAAAATGCATCTTGAAGACCAAGAAACACCACAATGGTCAGGGGTACATAAGCTTTGGACATCTCACACAGCACTGTTCAGTCCATTATCCAAGTATGCAAAATCAGTAGCACAACCAGAAGTGACAGGCCAAGCAAAAAGTGTTAATCAGGGAAATGGTCTATGTCTGCACTCCCTCTGGAGGAGTGGCATGAGTGAGAGTACATGCCACTGGGAAACACTGGGAAATAACCCTTTTATTTAAAACAAAACCATTATGAGTCCCATTTCCAGTCAGCCATGCACAAAACAGCCTGAGCATGATGATTTTGGTAAAAAAAATAATAATAATAATAATAAAAACAAGGTGGTGGCAGCATAATGTTGTGAAGGTAAATACAGACCAGTCCTGGAAGATACAGCAAAAGACTCCAGACTCGGGCAGCACAACATGTCTTAAACATACAGCTACAATTGAATGGTTTGTTTTTATGCATATCTACTTGAGTCCAAATGTAAATACAGTTAAGATAAATATTTGAAAATCAGAGATGCTCTTCATTCAATCTAAACTGGCTTTAGCCATTTTCAAAGAAAAATGTATTTAATTTGAGATATTAAACCATAAACCACACGCCGAGTGAGACGACTCCTAAATATGGAACTACAGCAAAAGGTGATTGTACTGTATTGACTAAGAGGGATAAATACAAACATTTTAGATTTTAATCTTTTTTTTTTTAAACTTTCATTTTCATTCTGCTTCACATGCTCAATCACCTGCAGGACTTTGTGCAGCAACAAGGATAACTATGCCATATATAAGATGGGTAAGCAATTCAGTTTCAGCTTCAAGACCCTTTTTTACAATTTCCTACATCTCTTTACATTTATTATATACCTTTTCAGTTTGCTGGAAAACAAAAAAACAATCTCATCCCAGCTTAAATGGTTTGAGTAAGCCTACTTACGCTGTCTTTTGTGAGTTTTTGTCTAAATGATTGAAAAACTTTTAAAGCGTTCCTTCTGAGCTCATCTGAAATCACTGTGAGAAAGTCGCCCCTTTTTCACTGTGGCCAAACACATCTGGCCGGCCGGATGGGAACTTAAAATTTGTTTTGTCAACTTAATTGGATCCAGATCTGTCCGTGTGTGTTTTTAAGCCTGTATCTGCATGTTGTTATTCGAGAGATTCCACTTTCTGGCAGGAAGAGAAGAGGAAGTAAATATAGGCAACGCAATTTAACATTAAACAGCCTTATCAAACGGTATCTCCCAGCAGGAGGATGAGGAAGACTTGCTTTGGAAATTGGATCTCCTGCGGCTGCAGTTTCCACTTAACATCGTAATAAAAAAAAAAAATAAATAAAAAAAAAAAACATGTTGAAAAAGTGTTCTGTTTTCAATTTGGTAAACATCCAGTTGTTTAATTGGATGCAGATTCGCGCACTGACTGCACACGTCAGATTCTGGGAAGAAAAGTGGAGATGTACCTCTGTATGTGCTGCCCGGCTGGTAGGTCTCCGGGTCCCCCTCCACCCTGATCCTGAACTCGTGGTGCCCTTCCCGCCGGGTCCCCTGCGTCTGCGCCCGGAGGATCCGCCCGCAGTACCCGTCCGACCTCCCTCCGGCGGGCTCCTCCACGAAAGCAACGGCATTGCACAAAAAATTCGAGACAAAATAACCCTGCAAGAGCAGCAGATGCAAATACATTCCCATTTCTGAACTGCCGCTCGGAAATGATTGTGCAGTGGCTGTTCAGTTAAAAAAAATAAAATAAAATAAAATAAAATTAAGCAGAGCAAAGACCCGCGCTTGCTCCCTCCTGCCGGGAACTCCCACCGAACTACAGACGGAGACAGCGATGCGCAGAAGGAGACCAAGACAAGTCCATCCCGAAGTGGAGAGAGCGCGGCTGGAGCTCTGCGCGGTGTAGCGCCGCTTATAAGAAGAGAGGGGAGAGGAGCAGCAGCTGCTGACTCTGGATCAGTCAGTGTGATGTGCTGGAGGGGTAGAGAGGAGATAGGAGGGCTCTGCTATGAGAACAACGGTGCGCCGATACAGGCGATTATCTCCCTGATGCGAGACGAGGAAAAGTTCAGACTGACTCCCAAACACTTCCTCCCGTCGCACTTTACTCACACAAGCAGTTAACTTTCGGTCTGAATGTGCACGGATGCAGAAACGTCTCGGTGTAAAGTAGCCCCACGCTTTCCGGTCACTTGCATTAGTTTATTGTATTAGCCGTTTGTGACGTGACATCACGGTGCAAAAACAATATTTGATAAACAAGAAATGTACCCAAGAATCTAAACATTTCCATCTACTGTGTGGCAAAAGCATATGTTGTAAACATTATCTATTTGTGATTAAAATTAATCTCGGCTTTTCATTGTTAACATTTTTTGCATGCTGATAATGCTGATAAATGTAACTATCCCATCCCCTGATCGTGTTTTCCTGACTAACATGACTTTTTCTGATTGTCTTTTAGTTTCAACCTGATGAATTATTTGACTGACCAGACAACCTGATGAATTATTTGACTGACCAGATTGTATTTATTTATTTTTATTGTATTCATTATTTTAAACACATAAGAGCTGGCTATTTTATATTCCAAAAGAAATTTAAGGAATTACAACATGCAACATTTTGTACCTAACCATATTGCGATATTAGGAAGTAAAAGTGACAATTTAGAAATATAAATAGCCTTTATTATCCACAGATGGGAAATTTAAGAATTAACAATTTTGAAGTTCAATTCAATTTGCACAAATTTCATTTGTTTAGATAAAAATTTCAGAATGAGTTAATTTGTTAACTTCCGAACAGCTTTTAAGATATCCTTAGACAACTAAATTTGTCAAATTCTTTTTGGTCATTATTGTCTTTCAGATTACTTTACTCAGTGCATTTGTTTCAACAAATTAACGAGGTTCTAATTAGTCTGTTTTATACTCAGAAACAACCCATTTTTGCTACCCTGCAGAAAAAATAAATAAAAATCAGGGTTTGAATCTCAGCCAGAGCAGTATAATGTATATTCCCCTTGTACCAGTAGTTGTCTCTGGGTACTCTCACAGTTCAAACAAAGTTCAAAAACATCCACATTTAATCCCTCTTGTGGGCGTGTGTGTGGGTGTATCAGGTTTTTATATCCTTATGGGAACCTATTTCTGTCTACAATGTGGGGTTATGGGGACCGTTGCTCCTTGTGGGGACATTTTCTTGGTCCCCATGGGGGAAATTGTTGGTTTTGGGTTAGTGGTTAGGTCTGTGTTGGATAGGATTAGAGTTAGGATTATGGGTAAGGGTTAGGTTGTAGAAATTAATGGAAGTCAATGTGAAGTCCCCACAAGTGATGAAAACATGAATGTGCGTGTGTGCGAGTGTGTGTGTTGCTGGTTGTGTTGCCCTGTGACAGACTCATGACCTGTCTCATCTTGTCAGGGTTGCAACGGTGGGGTGCCAATCTCCAGCAGTCACTGAGTGAAAGGGGATGTACCCTGGACAGGACTCCAGACCATCACAAGGCAACACAGTAACACACATCGCAATCACCCATGCAAACACACACTCATACTTAAGGGTATTTTATGTGTTACCACCTAATAATTACGTTTTGTTTTTTTCTTCTAAAAAGAGGATTCACCATACATAAACACTGCTAAAAAAAATCTACAGATTTAGTTCAAACTGTTGTATAAATCAAAATTCCTCACTGAGATGTGAAAGTCAATGGTATATGGTGTGCATGAGTAAATGTTGTAATGTGCAAGGAAAGTGATTTATAGTCAGGTTGAAAACACCCAAAGGCCTCACTGGGTCTTCAGGTAAAGTAGTCGCAGTAATCAATGTTACAGCACAGGTGAAAATTTCCCAAGCTCAACCATAATGAGATCTGCAGGTGCCCGAACGTTAGGTAAACAAATTAACCAAACATTTCTGTGGTTTGGACTGCAGGAGAAAGTGAGAGTACCTGAAGAGAACCAACAAAAAAACAAAAAGTAAATTTCATAGAGAGAAAAAGAGGCTTGGATTTGAGCTTTTGGTATTTCTCAACTCTGCTAAATGTCTCTTATGTCAGCTGATGAAAAATTCACCTAATTTTCAAAGTACCATTTCAGCTGGGAGTATGATGTTAGAAATGCAACAATTTCTGATTTGAAAAAGTTTTAATTCGATTCAATTTTAGTCCATTATGGTTTTTTGTTTCTTTTTTACTCAAGATTTTTTTTTTTTTTTTTTTTTTTGCAACATTTTTTGTAAATACAACAGTGAAATGAGTATGAACTAAACTTGACTTCCATTTGCATCTCTGGCTTTATGTTCACATGTGAAACAAGTGTGGATTCTCCTCTATATTAAGAGCTCTCAAAAGGAAAGCAGTTTTTTAATTTGGAAATGCTTAAACTAAACAACATCAGCCTGAACGCCCCCAGAGACACTGCAGATGGATCCCATCTGGAGAGTCTCTGGTTTGTCCTCTGGGTGGCTAATATCCGATGTCCACAATATGGTCTGGACCAAGATATGGAGCCTGAAAAAAAAAACCTCTTTGACCTTTTGCAATAAAAACAAATGTGTTTCAAGGCCTGCCAGCAACTTTCCCACGCAAACACACAACTTTGTAGGAGGAAAATCAAAAGCAAATCCTCTAATCTGATCAAATGAAAAGTATTGTAAAAGAATCGTTTTCAGCAATCCCTGTTAGAAATAGAATTTATTCTGAGGGATATTTTAAAGCAAAGAATTCACAGAAAATTATTACCTCTTCAAAATCTGATATGCTTAATTTCAGTTCTTTTTACAGGAAAGTCCTGCAGGCCTTCTTATGACAAATAAATTTGCCTGCTCAAATTAGCCTTTCATGAGGGTGATAAAGTTCTGATGCAGACAGCATGGGTCAAAAGGGTGTATTAAATATGTAAATTGCAAAGATTTCAGACTGTGCAAGTAATTTCCTCTAATGGACTATAAAGGTTCTTAAAAAAACCTCTGTATTACACTCAGGTGTGTAATAGAATTTCTAATCATTTTATATAGACTTTTAGGAAGTCAGGAAGCATTTGCTTCATTTAGATCGTTGCCCCCAGTAATATAAATGACCCTCCAAGCTGTGTCCGTTAAAAGCTTAGTGTTGAGATATCATGGATTCAATTTTCTGTTGGTTTCAGAAATTTTGAAAAATCACATTATTCAAGCTGAAAATGAAGCAACTGTGCATACATCCTAATCTCTGCCTGCTTAAAAAAGGAACTAGGGAAATGTATTGCTAAGTTATTAAGGATAAATTGTTCACATTTGGTTACATTTGGTTGGACTCTATGCTTTGACTAGGTGCAGCTATGCTGTTATCATTTACTTGATTGAAAACCATCAGTCCATCTATTGCATGGACACACACTTATTGCATTAGGGGAGCTGGTATAAGTGAAAATATGATCCCCAAATATAATTTCATGATATTCTATGATGGTTATTCTTACCAAGTTTATTTTCTGTACTTTACTGCATCTACAAATCAATACTAGGGGCTAATTTCATGTGTGTATTTAGAACTGTTTATGTATTAGCTTAACAGGAAAACTGGATTGTCATTTTTGCACGTTAAATTTTGAGCTTGCGCATGTAGACGTGCACATGTTTCACTAGTGATGTAACTAGTGATGTAACACAAGAAAGTTGAACATTTTACAACTTTTATTGCTGTTGCAATCTCATCCCATATGTTGTTGTTCACCTTCTGCTGTCATTCAGCACTCCCTTTGTGCCGAGCTGATTAGACCTTTAACCAGTTGATAGTATTCTATTTTGGACCTCCTGAGCTAGCTGTAGCCCCCACTGTGCCCCCAACCATGGAAGTCTAGGTCCGCCACTGACAGAAAGCAAGAGGGAACGTGGCATGAGCAGTGGAAAGAAAAAGGACCACCGGAGAAACAACAGAATCGTGGAAAGAGTAAAATAGAGAGGCTTCAATACCTAAGAGGTTAATCACTAGAATGGAAAACTGATGAGTCTAATCACTTAATTAAAAACAGCTGAGGGACAGCAAGGTGCTGAAGGGTTTGGAGGGGGGAAAGCCCATAAATAAAATAAGTAATACACAAAATGAGGAAATGATGGCATGGGTTAAGAGACAGGTGCTAGAACCTGCCTTTTAGGCCAGGCCTCAGCAACAGGTGTAACCAGGAACACTGGAAAACATAGTTCCTGCACAAGGGCAGACAAATTACCAAAATAAAACAGGAACTTGGGTAATAAAAAAAAAATAAAAAAAAATAAAAACTGTTAACAATATTTCTAAAACTAAAAGTACAACACTAGCCAGAAATTTAACACAAATCCAGAACCAATGTCATAAGAATCATAAAAATACATTATATTGTTTGCATTTATTATGGTTACTCTAACTGAAATGCCCCAGTGAATTAGCAATCCACAATTAAGAGTACCAGTACGATGCCTCACAGTGTTTATCTTCTCTGGGCTGGTTCTTGGCACTGGCATTTACTTAGTGCGGCAACTACTGAAGTTGGCTCTAAACGACCTGGAATCAGCTGATCCAACGATGGAAATGAAATGTTTAAGTTTGGTGCATGTGTAAAATGATTTCAGAAAGGGATATCTAACATGTTCCTTAAGTTACAGTTGACTCAAATAATGTTAGCAGGCCGGTTATGTTATTGTAAAAAGCTGGAATTACATGAACTGCAGTTTCTGACAGAGCCTTTTTACAATTTATGCTTTCCATCTGAAACAGCTGTGAGCTAATCTTAGGATAAGCTAAATGAGTTTTCCTGCCTACTGGCTGCTGGAAAGCATTTGGTCTGAGAATAGACCATAAAACGGTCAAAATGAATTCATTGTTTACATAAACTCACAAATATCTGTTTCCTTCATAAAAAGACTGTAAATATTTATAGTTGCATGTTCCTGTTGCCCCAGAAACCAAAAGTTGTGTTAACTGTTAATTTGTGTTTGCTTGTTAAGTGTGTTCATTTCCATCACTCGCTCATTTAACATAGAAATAATTCTACCAATGGATAAAGTGAGACGAGTGTAGCCCTTTTCTGCCTTTTTACTTTCTCTCTTATATGTTTTTGTCTAAAA